TCCACACCCCAACCACACCTCACCTCACAGTAAATGATCATTTCCATTTCAAGCATTTCCAAATAATCATTTCCCATACTGCCACTATAAATATACACAGTATACTGCCATCACTACAATATACATGTTTTACACACTCCTTTTGTTGTTGACATTTACAGGCTGTGTGCATAATGCCACACTCTTCAAATTCATGCCAGCTATTATTTTTACGTCCAGTAGGTGTCCTGCTAGAGCAAATGAAGCTTCATGAAGCTTCGCGTTGGGGTGAACCAATTGGATGAAAAGCTTCAGTGCTTCATGGGGCTTCATCTGCCCATCACTACTGTTTGCACTGTTGCTCTTGGGACCTGCAGCTGCTTTGAAATGGCCCCAAATGACTTTCCTGACTTGTTCAAGTCAATAATTCTCTTTTTCAGATCCATGCTGAGCGCCTTTGACTTCCCCATTGTACCATTTGTGGGCGTTTGTATCCAATGAGCCCTCTTTAACTGGCCTCAGAGAAGTCACCAGCTGTAGTCACTCATAATCACTCACAAGAAGTTAAGAGGTCATGCTATGAAGCTCCTTTCACTGACAACATTCTAAGTCACAAAAATTGCTAATTCATGTTGCTGTATGTATATTTTTGACCCAGCAGACGTGATCACTTTTTTCTGTTAACCCATAATATAGTCATAAGAGAACCAAACTTCATGAATGTTTTTTGTGACAAAGAAGTATCTGTTCCAATCACTCTGTAGGAGAAAAATCAGAGTTGTAGAATTAACGGGAAACTTAAGAGAGCCATGATATTATGTTCTTTCCAAGTGTATGTAAACTTTTGACCACAGCTGTAAATTGGATGCATTTAATTTAATGCAAAGATCTGACTAACCAGAAGGCAAGGACTGACTTACTTTAGTGTTTCATGTCGGTCTGGGTGCTGCTGGATAACCTTAGCTAGAGCATCATACTCTGGAAAAAGTAAGGAAAGAGAGAAGTTGGACAAGTTACATATTATATACATAATGTACTGGTGAGCGAAACAGAGTTTTGTGAAGTAATAGAAGAATTTTAAGGTAATTTTAAATTGTAATGGGAGTCAATGAAGTTCCTTCATCACTGGGGTAAAGTGGTCAAATTTCCACACACCAATAAGGACAGTAGCCGCTGCATTTTGAATCATCTAAAGACATCCTGATGATTGCAATAATCTGACAAACTTGACATGAACACATGGATCAAACACACAAGTCATTTTGAGATAAGAATTTTCTAACATTTGATATATTTTTAAGTGATAGAAAGAAGTTCTGGTAACCTCACTCATGTGGTTATCAAAACTGAAACCACCAAGATGATTCCAAGGTCCCTGATTGGCTCACTCTGTTTCAGAGAAACTATTTTTATGTCCCAGACTTTTGGGACCAACAAAAAGTGTTTTGGTTTGGGCTCTGTTCCGTTCTAAAAAGCTTTGAGACATCCAGCAGTTAATATCATCAACATAGCTCATTAGTTTTTGTGAACAGACGTTAGATCATCAGAGGAAAGTGATAAGTACAAACGTGTATCATCCGCATAACAATTGTAGGCTTTATTATGGTTCTTTAAGACAGCACCAAGTGGGAGCATGTAAAAGTTAAATAGTAATGGACCAAGGATAGACTCTTGAGGAACCTCTGATTGATCTAAAACTGCTAACTGAAACATTAAACTTCTACCCTTTAGATATGATGAGAGCCAATCAAGAGCCTGACCTGTTAAACCAACTTTGTCCTGAAGCCTATGAATTAGAATCTCATGGTCAACTGTGTTCAAAGCAGCAGTGAGATCAAGAAAAACTAAAACTTTCAGGGAATCATTATTGATCCTCGAGTCTTTGATGACTTTAGTAAGAGCTGTTGCTGTGCCATGACTGGTTCTCAACCTTGATTAGTACTTATAAAAACTATGATTTGAAAGGTATTTATTCAGTTGTTTGTAAACTTTTTTTCCCAAATGCTTTGCTGAAGAATGAAAGATTACAATTAAGGCTAGAATTATTAATGATCAATGGAGCCAGGTTTTTTTCTCTCGAGTAGCAGTGTGATTACAGCACATTTAAGGGAAACAGTGAAACACACATTTAAATAGTTTGGTGGGGATAGGGTCAAGTAAATAGGTGTAAGGCTTTAACTGATGTCAAGATCTTTAGAATTTACAGGTGAGAATTGACAACAGCTGGAGGTATAGCTTGTAGAAGGGGTACATAACAAAACGTGAGTCTTTTGTCAATAGGACAGCTGACTGAATAGCTTTCTTACCTTGGCGATTCTTTCGTATCCTCTTTGCCCTCTGAATTTCTTTTTTGCATTCTGCTATCTTCTCATGTGCAGATGCAATGTTTTGTTCTGTAGTATGGGGACAAATTAACGAGTTGGAAAAGCAGGTAATACAAAATGTGACTTGTAAACAGTTGCGAAGATAAATGGACAGTCTCACAAAACCCAGTCCTACCGATGTTGGAGTAGATTTTCTCATAATTCTCCATTTCCCGAAGATTCATGTCGTAAACCATCAACGTCTTCCCCATGGAAAATTCACACTGAGCCAGAATGCCCAGCATCCTCTGATACTGTGTGAATCTGAACAGAATTACAGCACTTTTTATGACTCAGACCAAATTCTTCTAGGCGATTTTAGAGAAATGCGTGGCAACCGAGTTGGGTATGTAGAGCTCGCTTACCCTTCCTCCGGGGTCCCGGGAGAGTTGCACCATTTCGTGAAACTCTTCAGGAGCAAATTGATTCGGCGGTCATCTCCGGCTCCATCACCGTCAATGAGAAGGCGTTTCCGTATAACTTCATCTGGAATACGGGCGAAATAACAGCCATTCAGGTACAGCAGGTAAAGCGAATACACCGGCTAACAAGGCTACTTGATGTTAGCTGTATCCAAAATAACCCACGTCTCCATGCACAACTGGTTCGTTTTTGACGGGTATGGGTATGTGCCTGGGTATAGTAGTATTTCTAAAGGTTTAGATAATTGTTACTACTCATAGGTGGTATGAATAGTTAATATAAATGAAGAGAACGGTTACTTACCATCTGTAACAGCCCCCATGTTTGTGCTGCGGCTTTGCAAAACTTTATTGAGCAGCCGGAAGTGGACAGTCTTCTGCTCTTCTTCTGGGGTTTAGTCCTCGGTTGGTAAGCTAGTTTGAAAAATTACTTCCACCAACCGGACTGGAGTGGGCAAAAATAGGTGCCATTGGATATTTTATGAGACAAATGAAACCTTTAGTTGGAAAAAAAAATGCAGAGCGTTTTCTTTTTGATAAAACTTTATATGATGAGGGTTTTTTTTAACTTTGGGAAGAGCAGAACAACACGGAAGTATATTGTTAAAACCATGTTTTGGTGATGACTGATGACATTTATAGAGTGTCTTAATTTGTGTCATGAACCATCGCACTAAACTGATTTTTTTTTCCTTCAAACAGACGTATAACTTTCTTATATGTTTTGGAATAAATTCTGCAAAATGCTATAAGTGTGAGCTATTTTTCTTAATTAGCTTGCATATAATACTGTGCGAAACTCCTAAACCACCCCTCATTTATTTATATTGTGCTGGAGAAATGAGAAGTAGCTACAGTTGTTTATTGAAATGTGTGCAAACATCCATGGAAATATATTATATAAGGCAAACACTGAGTTTTACAACGCCAATTCCAATTTTACAATTGCAGTTGGCTTGTCTGTCAGTGTATGATTGCCTTTATTCTTCAAGATAGCCTGAACTCTCTAAGGTAAGGTTTCCTCTGAATTTCTTTGAGCAGTCTTCAGGAATAGTTCTCCAGGTTTCTTCAGAGCTCTTCTTTGGATGTTGGCTTCCTTTCTTTCTGTTCTCTGTCCAAATGATATCACACTGCGTCAATAATGTTGAGGTATGGACTCTGGGGAGGCCAGTGTATGACATGGTGTTTCATTTTGTGTTTTTCTATCCAGGTATACTTTTACTGCACTGAAAGTGTGTTTGGGATCAATGTCATGCCGAAAAAAAAAGTTGTTTGTCAATCAGACCCTTTCCATATGGTGGTGCATGGTGAATCAAAATTTGACAGTACTTTTATGTATTCATATTTCCCTCGGTTTTAACAAGATTCTTGACACCACAGGCTGAAATGCAGCCCCAAACCATAACATTCTCCAATGTGTTTTACTGATGGCTGTAGGCACTCGCTGTTTTAACTCTCTCCTGGCCTCCTCCATACATAGTGATGATTTGAACCAAAATTTCAACTTTGGGTTCATGACTCCATAATATCCGTGCCACTACTTTTTCAATTCAGTTCTTGTGTAATTTGGCATATATCGTCTTGTGTCAGGTCTTTGCATTTTTTCCTATTTCTGCAGAATATGTCTCTTATCCAGTTCTCTCTACTTTTTTAAGGACACTGCACGTTTTGACACCCTGCAGCCATGTTCAAATTCCCAGGGACTCTTATTTGGGCAGGTAGTTTGAAGCATTCGCTGATATGAAAACTGCAAATAGAATCATCAATCAAACCTTGTAATAAAAAAGTCCTTTAAGAGTGTTCTGACTTTGCACCGAAACTAGGTTTTAACCCCCCACCATTGCTTTTGTTATAGATTTTAGTTCAGGATTCTTTCATTCCCATATAATAGTTATCTCTGTTTTTGCCCTCAATTATTAGTTAATCGATTTAAATCGTTTAAATCGAATTAAACATATGTTTGGTGAACGTGTTGTAGTATTTTTTTTATTTATTAATTTTTTTAAATTGCACATGTTAATTGTAATGATTTCCCCTATCACATATCTCCCAGGCTTCATGCAATTGTAAATACTGCATTTAACAGGGGAATGAAATAAAAATAATAAAGAAATAAATTTAAATAAATAAATAACTAAATAACTAAATAAATAAATAAAGTCTCCTGGTGAAGAAGTTCGGCGGTGCCATGCAGTCATTGGTCAGTTCGCGCTTGCGTCGTGGCGCGGTGACGTTTTTCTCTGTCCCAGAATGCAGTCTGGTAAACAGACATGGAAGCACCAGGTGAAGACCTCCACAGAGGCTGAGCACTAAACTCGCTCTTTTCCACCGTCTTCTGTCTCCTTCACCCTGTGCATCCAGTTGATATATATCAGCCAGGTGTCAGACTTACGTCTACAGGATCCAGAGCCTTGGTAAGAGTGAAGTTGTTGTCGATATGTGACCGCGGCTAATGACTTCTGCTGGGCTGTCAGGCTGCTGTCAGCTTCCTCGCTGGCGCTAGTCATGGCTGGCTAACGTTAGCCAGCTAGCAGGCTAACGTTAGCCATCAGTGTTGTTTAGTAACGTTTGTACCAGTCACAGACCCACACTAGATTGAGCTTAATGTCATGACACAACGGCTTATAGACATTTGGTCTGTTTTCAAATACCGTATTTCCGGTGAAGGTTAATGTTGTCTTTTTTATTCAAAAAAATATCTACGATAGTGTAATTAGTGTCGAGTAGAAGTGGCAGCATTTCTAGCCAATACGAATTCTGGTTCCTGTGTTCTCTCTTATCTATGTGTCAGAGTTGCACCTGTCTGCCAATGACAACAACTGTTTTTCTAAAGAAGTGACATAATGCTATGTTCTTCCACTCATGGCCTTTAACATACTCATTTCATAAAGTCAAAACCACAACCGAACTAAGGCTAAGCTACGGGTACTGGTATGTTTATATTCCGTAAGAATGTTATTAACATTGTTCTTAACCGGTATAGGCCTTTTCACTGAATCTATATAAAGGTGGAAATCCAGCATAACCAGTTCCCCAATCCAATCATTGTGATAATTGGATCATATCTTTTCAGTCTGAATCTCATTTTATTTCTCATGTTTTTATGTAGCTTTTGTTATTTAGCCACCCAGTTGAGAAAAATAAAACAACAAAAAAGAATAAATAAATAAAGGAGATAACACAACAGATGACATCGGCTGCTGCCACCGTAAACATAATCTTACATGCTGGTCAGAAGTCAGTGTTACTGATGTTCAGATGATATATTAGTGTATTCTAGGCAATTTTTCTGATATAATGACAAACATGCCCGTATTAATACTGTGACACGGTAGATGCCAACGGCTATAATGGTGGCACTAGCTCTTTGCCACTTTATCAGTGTTGGCATTTATGACAAAGATGTGAGAATTGTCTGTTAGTATTGTTTGACAGCACATGCATACAGAATCAAATATAATACTAATATTTTAGTTCTGCTGAAACTTTTCCCTTCTGCATTGTCACAAGTCAGAATTTTTGTTGCTGTCGAAAGGTTAAATAGCATGTTCCACAGACACCCATATGCAAGCGTTTACATAATACTCTGTAATTGTTTCCCACTCTAACTTATTGAAAGTTAACAGGAAAGTATTGACTTCTAGATGTCTATACATATAGATAGATAGTCTATATGTATTACATGTTGTCGAATGTGAGAATAGCGCAGATAGTACTGTGGTGAATTTTCACTGAGTGACTGTGTCCTGTGTCCTCAATTTTCCAGCCAGGCAGCTTGTTCACCTAAACCACACTAACTATTAACAATTAATAATCTTCTGCTGTGAGCTAGCTGTGAGAAGAGAAAACACTGGACAGTCTCCTGACCTGACTCTCTGAACATTTTCCAGACTTGATGTGTGAAAATAGTTTCGGACTGCCACTTTTGCAGCAGTAAGATTCTTATTTTTCTTTCTGCTTTTGCTAAAAGTTGTTGTGTATATTAGCAATACACTTTTTTAACGTGTAGCACCAGTAAATCCTGGAATTCAGGTCACCGGCAGTGAATTTATTTTGATTTCATGCTCATTATAACAGATTTTTGACATTAGATAACTTAAACTTAAGATGTGTGGTTTAGTTCTGACGGTATTTAGGTTGTAAGTTTTAAAGGGTTGCAAAGCAACATTTGACTAACAATTGTAAAGTTGGTGGTACCATATGGTACAGTACACCACTGAATAAACAGCAATATGCCTTAAATGTATGAAGACAACAAAAAATATAAAAATGTCTGCATGTCTTTAAAATGGATTCCTGTAGATGTATGTGTTTCTTTATGTTGACTAAGTTGATGGACGGTAAATGAACTGGTTCTTATATAGCGCTTTTCTACTCATCTGAGGACTCAAAGCGCTTTACACAACTTGTGCATTCACCCATTCACACCATTCGCTATAAAGCACATTTTTCTAAGTGCTTTATAGCTAACATGCACACATTCATACTCCGATGGATGCATCAGAGTGCAATTTGGGGTTAGTATCTTGCCCAATGATATTTGGCATGCAGACTAGGGGAAGCCAGGAATCGAACCACCAACCTTCCAATCAGTAGATGACCTGCTCTACCACCTGAGCTACAGCCACCCCATTGATCAGTAAGGGGACAGGAATGAAAGTGTTTTTTTACACATAATTCAAAAATTCCACCTACTAACTATAGAAAGGAAAAGGTGTGGTATAGTTACATCTTCCCTCAATGCATGTCTGTGTATGTCTCCAGATTTCCTATCCAGTGTGTGTGTGCCAGCCAGGAATCACCCAAACTGATGTGGATCATCTGATTGAGTTTAAAGATAAATTCCTTGTTTCTTGTTTTGCCAAGGTAAGATCTTGCTGCTGTTCATTTCAAAACTGCATTGACATGTGGTGGGTTTTTTATGTTTCCTCATAGCTGCAGAATAATCATACCTAGTCATGTAGTACTTCCATTACAACGGACCAACACCGAATACAGTTTCTATTGTAAAGTATTCAGTATCAAGGAAGTGTTCAATTACAGCATCAGTGAGTTGCATCTGAGGATATGCTTTATACTGCTTGTTGTATTGGGCTTTAAGATTAGGTTTTTCTTTTTACTATATGTGTATGAATTGTTTGAATTTAAAAAAAAGGCCAACAGTGCAGCTGCCCCTCAGTAAGTATCAAGGAAATTACAGAAATTGTGTAATTTCAAGACTTCTATGTTGGACTACCTAATGTTACACAGGTCATCGTTACTACAGCATCTGTTCTCTGTATGTTGCTTAAAAGATCCAACATCAGCTGGCTGATCCAGCGTCTGCTAATCTGCTTTGTTCTGTTCTTTGAACTCACAATAGATTTTGATTAGACTCACTGGATTAAATCATCTGAGATGATTACACGCTTCTGCTGTGTTTGACCAAGTGGCAAATTTTGGGCTAGAAAATGAATCCAACATGGATGTGCTAGATAAATAAATGGCCATTTGAGACTGGCCCCAAAAGCAAGTCAATCTTTACAGGCTGTTATGTTAAAATGTCCAAGTAAATAACAGTAAGACATCTTTATAGCCTGGTACAAATAAACAGTTTATGCCTCATAGACAGGTAAGCCTCTTTCATAATGCATGGTCACTTTGATTGGCAGGTGTGTGGTGCAGCCTAATCTAGACTTTTGTGGTTCAGTTTTGGTGAGTGAAATTCTAGTTTTATTAGTCTTTTACTTAGTAGTAATAAGCAGATATCTCTGTCTGTGTGCTCCATCTGTACAGCAGGGCTGTTCTTCGTAATACCAGTAAAAGTGTCAAAACATCAGCAATATAGCAACACCATGCATTTGCATCCTCCAGCGTGCACTATAACAAAGAAAGGCCAGGCCTATCTGAGAGTGAGAACTGTATATCCGTCTCTGATGGTGATTTTAGTCCAGATAGTTACAATCTATATGTCAGGAAAAGCAAACAGTGGATGAGTATTACTGATGTAGCTATGTTGTAGCTGGTACAAGGTCTCTTGGTGACAATATTGGTCAGGCTCTTGATGCTTTACAAGGTTAAGTTAATTGAGTTATTGTTAAATTAAGGTATTAAGCAGTTATTTTATGATTTAAATTTTCTTTTGGCTTGCTTTGGTTTACATTTGGACTAGAGTGCTACTGTTGCTGGCACCTTGTTTCAACATATTAGCACTTCAATTAGGCAGTCTGTCATCAGTGACAGTAACTCATTAAAAAAGGGTGGAAAGTACTCTTTGTTTCATTTAAAAAACAATAATAATAATAATGGCACTGTGTGCAAACGGCAGTAATTAAAAAGAAAAAAGTATTCAGTATTTTTTTTACAATGTCATAAATATTATCTCAGATTTCCTGGAAGTATTCTGAAATAATACTGAGTCCAGCTAGCATTAGCTGATAACTTATCACATTACCCTTTCATTCACCTATGGGAGTTTCTGTCTCTAAAAACAATAATGACATCATGATTGCTTGTTCCATCTTTATATACAGTCTTACAGTCTGGACATGGGTATTGATTCTGAAAACGAAGATAAACTCAACAAAAGCTTGATGCGACTTGAGGACCAGTGGGAGTGTTCAATTTTTCACCTTACTAGAGCAAAATCTTCTGTGAGAGGGCAATCTGGAATTAACTAAGAGTATTTACTTAAAGGTGATTTCATAAAAACGGCAAGAACATGAGGAGGGGGTCAAACTGATATTGTTTTTTGTTTTTAAATGTGCTTACAGAGCAAAGTAAAGCATAAGGTAGCCAAGTAGAGTAGAAATGTCTGCTGTGAATCACGGTGTAAAACTGAAAGGGACAGGAAAAAAAAAATCTTAAAGAACATAAAACTAGGGAAGACCAGCTGGGCTGGACTAGGCTCCAGTTGAAGAGTTGGCTCTCTACCAAAATATCAATCACCATATACTGGAGTGTATAGAAAGGGGAATCTCTTCTTCCAAGCCACAGGAAAGATGCAGCAGTTTTGACCTCTTTCAGGTACAGTAAGCTTGACGTTCTTGTGTGTGTCAGAGGCATGTTGTCACTACCTTTGTGATGTTATTGCTTTTACTCAGCTACTAACATATGGTGCTAATAAGTTACATATGCAAATTATTTCCTCTCCAGTGAAGCAGTAGTTCTCTAAAATTAATGAGTGAGGGTACGTGAAAGGATGACGGTAATCACACAGTCCTCCTCCTCTTGAAATGCTCTTGTTATGATCAGTGCACTAATTGTTAACTGGTTCCTCCCACAAGAATGTCACAGCTATGCTGGGCAGAGTTCCTGAAACTACACTATTGCGATCATTTTGCTTTGACCTTACAGATATGATGCTATGGCAATAAAGGCAACAGATGTTTTGAAGAAATGAAAAATCTGAGGGCATGTCAAATAACTATATCCAGTTAAAACATTAAACCAACTGGCATCAAGGTTGTTAAATTGACATTATTGTAGTTTCAGTGTTAAAAAATGCTCTTCATCACAGTGTTTGAGCACACACACAGCCAGCACATTCAGGATGATGTTTTTAATTTGCATTTAAATGCATGATGGTAAAATTGGACTTTCAAACAGATTTTTGAGATCACAATTTACTAATACTGTTTTTTTTCCTTCCTTTGTTTGCTCATTTTGTCTTTTCTTTTATTTATTACCATTTTGTGCTAAAAGGAAAGAGAAGTTTTAAATGTACTTGAACTATTTAAGCTCTTCATCACACCGTGTGATCACCTGATTTATTTGATGCAGCAGAAACCAATCAGCATTTGGTAGGTGATAGCAGTCAGGAAGACTGACACCAGTTGATACTGATGTTCATCTGATAATATCAGTGCATTCCTACACTAAACTCTGTACTCGAGAGGGCCAAGGCTTTTTGGAGTACTTGCCAAATTGGAGTAAGAATTTCAGGTAGAGGGGTAAAATGGGTACACAGAGTCCAACACTGCATGATTAATATTAAAGATTAAACACCATAACAGATGAGATGTGCCATTTATAAGTAATTTCAGTCAGTGTGTTACACCGTCTTTATAAGACATCTGTACTTTTCTAGGTTTTGTTTCTGGCAAGAATCTAAAAGGATCCCAGTTCTAGTTTTGTTTCTTTTTTCTCTCTCCTTGTTCAGCTTTACTTAGGCGAGCACATGCTGTCTGGGTAGAATGAGAAATGTTTCATTTTGAAAGTGAAAGTAAACTTGGTAGATTATAACAGACTTTGTAAATCTGAAATGCTTAGAAATTAAAAGGTTTGTGCATGTCATTCAAAAATCTCTGAAGTCTTGCATTAATACATCTTAGACACGTGTTTAATAGTAACATGACCCTGTTTTTATTTTAAATGGAATCTAATGTAACTGACCATAATCCTTTTATACAAAGTCAATATCTCTAAATGTATTTCTCTCATATTTTTCAAAATATTGGGAAGCTAATGCATACATTCTAAACATAAAGTCATTATAATATAGTATTTCACTCATAAGTCACCAGTAGAAAGTCTATATATTGATATCAGCTTTATGGCTCATACATTTAAGATGTTAAAGCTCACATTTTCTTAGTATGGGAAGAAAACAAAGAATCAATAATAAAGTATAAATATGTTATGGTCAGTCATCTTCTAATGTCACACCCACAATTACTAAAAAAGTATTTAGTATATCTTACAACTGTTTATATGGAGTCAAATCTCAAAAGCGATCCTTATTAACTAATAACTTGTGCATTAAATTAGTATTATTATAATCAATCACAAATTTGCCTCAAAGCACTGTATTTGATAGCATCGTTATTCTTAAGTATAGTTTACAATTATTAAATGTAATTTACATTTCTAAATGATAGCTAGCGAGTAAGCCACAGCCAAGGGAACCAGCAACCTTCAGCTGAATCGCCAGCCGGCCTATTTATTCGACGTTGAACAGTATGTTGTGTAAGCTTTGTACTTGTAACGTCAAGTTACCACACAGGGCGATTTTTTTTTTCTGAGAGGCGGGTTTGCTGAAAACAACACGCGTATGCCCGTGTCAATCAGTATAAAAGTCCTCCTATCCCGAGCTCTACCAGCGCTGACTCTCGTGTTGTTACATTGTAGCGGAAAGAATGTCGGAAAGGGCCGAGGATGACGTCAGGGGGGAGCAGCGCCGAGCGGCCAGGCAGCAGCTGAAGCAGCAGCAGATCCAGCGGGGAGAAGGCTCCACAGCAATGGCGACTGTTGCAGAGCGGAGATCGTTGCCTAGTCCAGAAATAATGCTGGGACAGCCTTGGAGCAGCTGGGTCGACGCCGCCAAACTCCACGGCAACGACGGTGAGTTCCCCAGCGTGCCGTATGTTTGCGAGGAAGCGAGGTAGAGCGCGACAGTTGCCAGTCCTGTCTTTTTTTTTTTTTTTTTTTTTTTTTTTTTTTTTTTTTTTTGGCCGAGTGCATGCAGTTTTCGGTTGAATATGAAGAAACGCTATTGGTAGCAACAGCACGGGCAGGGAAGCAAGTGCAACTATTCATTTGTGTGTTTCGGATCGCCTCATTTTTTAGGTGCTGAATCGGAGGAAAGTTTTAAAGACTTCGGGAAAAATCGAGAAGCCATGCGTTTGTGCAGAGAAGGTGAGTGTTTTGTTTTTTTTCTCTCTAGGGCCAAAGGTGTATTTTGGTTATGGGGGTTAACACGCATACATACATTCACTCACGCTAACATGGATTCAAACACTTTACTCGTGTCGTTCTGCAAAACTTATAGTAAAACAAGCGCACCCGGATATAATCAGTCAGACGTGTCGGTAATTCATGTGGTGACATTTGCACATGAACCTAAAATAACTTAACGATTAGCAACTTGGACTTGCTGACTAAAGTGATAATGCGTATTTCATTGGATGGTGTGTTTAAAGGCCTTTGTTTCGCATCCATATTTCTCCCATTTTGCAAAACTTCCACCATGTTTCACATCTCTCCCCTTACCTTAAGACATTGATGTTTGTTGCTAGGAGAAATGCAAGTATAAAGAAGTTAAAAAGTTACTTCATAGGCATAGCTCTGATTTTTCAAAACAAAAGCCAGCATAATAATGTTAAACTACTGCTGTTAAAAGAGCAAGTTGGACTTTTTGTACAATATATTTAAGTTAAAATGTTAAGTTGTGTTTTTGCTTACTTCAGTTTAACAACCAACATATGATGTTAACCAATGGTAATAGTTTTACTGTTTATTAAGAAAAATACTTAAAAATATTTATTTATTATTTATTGGCCTTTTAAACCACCAACCAGTATGCATGAGCTATTCATGTATGAAACATATAGAACCCTGAATAGGATAAAAACAATCAACCAGGCTACACTGATTAAAATCTTGATATGACTGTTGTTCTGCTAGTAGGTGTGGTTCCAGGGTTAAAACATAGTAGGTTTAACTAATAAACTCTTAAAGGACAATTGTAAAATCATGTCAGAGGGCATCATCTTAAACAGCAGCTAAAACTCAATGTACAACACACACATTGCCTGGCTTCTGAGCTAGAGAGAGGTGTTTCAAAGCAGTTTGTACTGCAGTTTTATTTTTGGAAACACCTCGATTAGCTTTAGCTGATTGGGCCTGCTGGCAGGCCTTGATTTAGAATGAATTTCATCACAAAGGTAAATTGTTATAAAAGTAAAATTGCATTTTGTTTACTTAAGACTAATGTGATGCTTAAGTTTCTAAGCTGAAATATAACACGCCAGACCTCAAGATTGAAATAAGGATGAGTCTGCTGGCGAAATGAAGTGAGGACTAACCTGTTCATTTGAGGCACAAGTAAATCAAGTGATGAATCAACTTTGTCACTGTGGTGATTGTAAGCTTAGCTTGTTCTATGAAAGGCGTTATGCCGAGCTAATGATGTACATTGTCTTGAGTTATTAATTAGGCAGTCTACTTAAAAGTGTATACCTATGGATAGGACATGTTTGTTCTTGTGTTTTATACATTTCACCACGATGTAGTTACTTTCTAAAAAGGAATTTTATCTCCTGCTGACGGAGAAACAAGCAGGGCATGTCATGTATGACCTTGCTGTTAAGGAGCAGTTACTGCAGTAGGTAGGCCAACAAGATTAAAATGCATTCTTTTGTTTAAGCTTCTTTTCAGAACTAAATGTGGACTAAAAATAATAATCTCTGTTTTGAAATTGTTTTTACATGGATCATTTTGGTCAAGAGAAAACTGTGCTAATCAAGCAAAAACCACAAGAAGCTCCTTTAGACGTCAACACCATCAATAATTCTCCGGCCAGCTATGAATCATTCGCTGTGGTGTGCTTAATCATCAAAAGAATTTAACAGGGTTCTGACCTAGGTGATTCACATTGTGAAGGCACAAATGTTAAATTTTAGTAGTTCGCATTCTCATCGTTGTTGTTAAAGCATTGATCGACATATTGGATGGACAGTATTTTTAAGTCATTTCACATACGGCTATGACGTAACCTATAAAAGTGGCAATTGCTGTTGCCAGCATTCGAATTTGCATGTGATGGGTTGTTATTTGCCTTGCGGTCGTGCCCTCTTGGTTTACATGTGGTACAAGCCATGATATGACAGATAAGACAGCTCCGACATTTTTCCCTCCTTGGGTCAAACATATTTGTCTGTCAAGTTTTTCCACTTATTTGAACATTTCCTCAAATCTATACTAATAGTTTCAGAAGTCTCCATCCAGGAATTTGCTAAAATCTGCGATTTCCTATATTGAGGCGATGATGATTATTCTGTCACTGATAAATTCAAAAACTGGAGTGAAAAAGTGCCCAGAAACACATTGGCCTGTTTACTACTGTCAAATCTTCCAATCACTGTAATTGTTGACTGCATCAGTTTGACGTGCAGTTACATTTCTCAGGAAGTGATCATCAGGAAACGGTGTAGTTTACATCATGACATTGAAGATTTAAGATGGAAGTATAAATTCATCTTAAGGCCCAGTGTTTGAGCCCTCACAGACTGATGATGTTACCCGTTTAGTGGTTGTGTGCGAGAGGTTGGGCACTCAAAATGGTATATACAGGAATAGGACGGCAGGTTTGGGCTTACCGTGTGATATTACATTGATGGCTCAAAAACATATTTGTTGTTTGGGGCATTTTATGTTACACTGTTTACTTTCTGCATGGCCAAGGCTGAGCCATTCATGTGAATTGAACATCTTCTCGGCAGTAGCTTTAAGAAGTACTAATTCACTTGCTTTTGACAAGCAGCAACAAAAACGAACACAGTATGAAAAGATGACGAATAGATGAACACATTATATAGCATTTGGTTCATGTTAGGTTTTTTCCTCTTTCCTTCCTTTGTTTATTTACTTTTTTAATGTTTTCAGGCTTTCCCCCTTAACCCGCAGTTTAACGTCACAACACTATGAACTGTGGGTAATTCCCTATGGGAGTGTTTGCAGAAATGCAGTGTGAGCATAAAGGGCTCACAAAACCTGAGAGAGCCCTTGTGTGTTTGAGAGTTTAACAGTGGGACAGCCCTAAGGCCTCACTGTCTTAGTAGTAATGCACTTTGAAGTCACACTTTGAATGAGTGTGGAGATTGGCGGTTCAGCCTCTCTTCGTTTTTGGCACATTAGTTTGTCCCACACTTGTGTCATCATTGCCTATCCAACTTTATTTGGTTTTCCTCCTTATGTGTTGAATAAAGGAGGGGGTTTATTGCAGACTGCTTCACAGAGGACTTATCTAATATTGCCGTGTGTGTGTGTGTGTGTGTGTGTGTGTGTGTGTGTGTGTGTGTGT